AACCCCCCCCAACACCCCAAGAGAGGGTGCTGCTTCCCCCCAAAACGGGGATGAGAGAGCCCGGGTGCGGCAGCGCCACCAAAAAAAATGTAAGAATTAACTTTTTTGGTGGTTTTTAGGGGAAAATGGATACTCTTCCAGGCGGTGAAACCATCCCCTGGGGAGAGGGTTAAAGCAAAGAGAAGAAACTCTCCCTTCTTCTCATCCCCAGCCCAAAAGGGGGGGTTGGTTTAACACCAGGGAACCCCAAATTCCCCCCCAAACAGAGGAGCTCCCCAAAGCGGGGACCCGGAGGTGGGGGGGGGAGGCCTTTTTTTAGCCAGAAATGTTTAAAACTCACACTCCCTACCTTCCTCTCAAGGTCATTTCTTCCCCCACACAAGGGAATGTTAAGAGGAAAGAGAAATGTTATTTATTTTAGCTCATTCTCCTGGAGAGGGGGGGGGGACACAAACCCCAACCCAGCCCGGGGTGGGGGGGGGGAACGAATTACCCCTTTTAATTCCTTTTAAAAAAATGGAGGAACCTTGATTTTTTTTTTAGTTTTTAGCACAATTGGGTCTCGAGCTGACAAGCCCGAGGGGTCACCTCGCCCTGGGCAGGAATTTGGGGAGGGGGGAGAATTTATTCCCCCCCCCCTCCAGCTCCGGAGAGCGAGCCCCGCGCCCCAACTTGCCTCACTCCGTGGATGTTTTTGATGGCGTAGCTTATCTCTCTCCTCAAGTCCTTCTCATCAAACTCCATCTGAAGAAGGAGAAAACCACCATTAGAATTTTTGTATTTTTTATTTTTAATCTTTTGTCCTTTTTTTTAGCCCAAATCAGGCATCATCCCCAGGTGGAGAAGTCGCTCCCTCTCCAGGTCGGGTCGCTCTCGTTCTTTCTCTGATTAATTTATCTCCAAGTTTGAGATCTCACCAGCTCCCTGAAGTTGAGATCTTTCTCCCCAACTTCCTCCTGGCCAAGCCCCGTTGTGGGAGGCAAGAGGTTGGGCATCTCCACCCAAAACCAACAGTCCCCCCCCCCTCCTCCCCATCCCCAGAGTGTTCCCAAACATCCCCTCCTTCTGCAAACACTTCCCGGTGCCGGGAAGGTGCTGAGGGATTTCTGGGGGAGAAGAAAACAAAGAGGTGTCCCTCAGGGTTGGGTGCTGGGACCTCTTTTGACATCTTCATCGATGATCTGGAGGAGGGGATGGAGTCCTCCCTCAGTCAGTTCACGGATGACGCTACGTTGGGTGGGAGGGTTGACCTGCTGGAGGGTAGGGAGGCTTTGTAGAGGGATCTGGACAGGTTGGATGGATGACCAACGGGATGAGGTTCAGCAAGGCCAACCCCACACTTGGGTCACACCGACCCCATGGATGCTCCAAGCTTGGGGAAGAATGGCTGGAGAGCAGCCTGGTGGAAAAGGACCTGGGGGTGTTGGTGGCCTGTGGGTTGAAGATGAGCCAGCAGTGGCCAAGAAGGCCACCAGCATCCTGGCCTGGATCAGGAACAGTGTGGGGAGTAGGACCCAAGAGGTGATGGTCCTCCTGTCCTGGGCACTGGTGAGGCCCCACCTCGAGGGCTGGGTCCAGTTTTGGGCTCCTCACCACAAAAAAAAGACATTGAGGGGCTGGAGTGGGTCCAGAGAAGGTCAAGAGAGCTGGTGAGGGGTCTGGAGAGTATGAGGAGAGGCTGAGGGAGCTGGGGGTGTTGAGTCTGGAGAAGAGGAGGCTGAGGGGAGACCTTCTCATGGTCTAGAACTACCTGAAGGTGGGGTGTAGAGAAGCAGGGGTCGGTCTCATCTCCCAAGTTATAGGAGATAGGACAAGGGGAAACGGCCTCAAGTTGCACCAGGGGAGGTTCAGATTGGAGATTGGGAAACATTTCTTCACCAAAAGGGTTGGCCAGCATTGAAATGGGCTGCCCAGGGAGGTGCTTCACCAAAAAGGGTTGTCCAGCATTGGAATGGGCTGCCCAGGGAGGTGGTTGAGGCACCATCCCTGGAGGTGGGTTTGGTTGGGTTTGTTTGGGGTTTTGGGGTTTTTTTTTTAATCAGAGTTAGGTTGATGGTTGGACTAGATGATCTTTAAGGTCCCTTCCAACCAAGATGATTCTATGAAAACAGGGTCTGGTCTCCTCCCACCACCCCCAGCCTGGTTTTTACCTTCACCAGCTCAAAGGGGAACCTCTCGTGGAAAATGCGGTTGATCCTGGCGCCCCCGGAGAGTTCCAACGTGTCCACCTGGTCTCCAGAACCTTCGATCCTCTTCTCGAAGTCCACGCCGAACTGCTGGACCATCCTGGGGAGGAAGGAGAGGGATGTTGGGAGTTGGCAGGACCATCCACCAGCGCTGCTGGCTCCCAACCACGGGGTTATTCCGGGCTTTTCCGTGGAGGAAGCCACCAGCTGAGAGAAATGAGCCCCCGTTTCTGGCTGGGAGAGACTCTGCCCCATCTCTGGGGGCATCAGAAGGACATGGAGGTGTCGGAGTGGGGCTGGAGGAGGCCCTGGAGATGGTGGGAGATGCTGGAGTCCTCCCTGAGGGGGGGCTGAGAGAGTTGGGGGTTCAGCCTGGAGAAGAGAAGGCTCCAGAGACCTTGGAGCCCCTTCCAGTCCCTCAAGGGGCTCCAGGAGAGATGGGGAGGGAGCAGGGATCGGGGAGGGGAGCCGTGGGATGAGGAGGAAAGGTTTTGAGGTAAAAGAAGGAAGATTGAGGGAGAAATTGTTGACTCTGAGGGTGGGGAGAGCCTGGCCCAGGTTGCCCCAAGAAGCCGTGGCTGCCCCATCCCTGGAGCGACCTGCTCTGGTGGGAGGTGTCCAGGGATGGAGCTCAATGGTCTTTAAGGTCCAGGTTGCCCAGAGGAGCTGTGAGGTTGCCCAGAGAACCTCGAAGAGGTTCAAGGCCAAGGTTGGAGGGGACTTGGAGCGACCTGCTCTGGTGGGAGGTGTCTGGGGATGGAACTGGATGGTCCAAAGGTCCCTTCCCACCCAAACCCTTGTGTGATTCTACAAAAACCTACTGTAACAAAGCTTTGGTTTTTCGCGTGGGGTCGTCGGGGCGGAAGTTCTTGTACTCCTCCACCTCCTTCTCCAGGGAGAGCAGCTGGCTCTGCAGTTTGCTGCGCAGCGAAGGCAGCGTCTCCCGAATGTGGTTGGTGAGTTGCTGTGGGAGAAGGGAGACATTGAGACACCCAAACCCACCAGGGGCTCAAGGAACATCCCTTTTCCACCAAAAATTCCCTTTTCCACCAGAAATAAACCACTGGTGCCACCAAAGGCTGGGGAAGGGATCCAAAACCCACCTGGTTGAGGACTTTCTGCAGGTGAGGGGTGCCCATGCGGTCGGCCATGTGCCGGTAAGCGGGGTGGGAGAGGAAGAACTTCCTCTCGGCTGCCAGCGCCGCCCTGATGTCCTTCTTACCGTCGATGTCCTTCTGGCTTCGGTTGACCACGCCGATGTAGCCTGCAAGAGGACATGGTAAGTCCTCTGAAGTAACAAGGGCAAGTGGAAGGTCCTGCACTTGGGCCACAAGAACCTCCTGCAGGGCTACAGGCTGGGGGAAGTGTGGCTGGAGCTGCCTGGAGGAAAGAGACCTGGGGGTTCTAGTTGAGAAACGGATGAAGATGAGCCAACAGTGTGCCCAGGTGGCCAAGAAGGCCACCAGCATCCTGGCTTGTATCAAAAATAGTGTGACCAGCAGAAGTAGGGAGGTGAGGGTGACAAAACCCTGGAACAGGCTGCCCAGGGAGGTGGTGGAGTCCCCATCCCTGGAGGTGTTTAAGGGCCGTTTAGATGCAGTGCTGAGGGACATGGTGTAGGGGAGGACTTTGTAGAGTAGGGGAGATGGTTGGACTCCATGATCCCAAGGGTCTCTTCCAACCTAGACCATTCTATGATTCTAAGAAAGCCAATGGCATCCTGGCTTGTATCAAAAATAGTGTGACCAGCAGAAGCAGGGAGGTGATTGTGCCCCTGTACTCGGCACTGGTGAGGCCACACCTCGAGTATTGTGTCCAGCTTGGGGGGGAACCCAACCTCAATGGGGCATTATGAGTCCCACAGGGGCCCTAAATAGAGCCCGGGGCTCCAACGGAGGTGAGGGATCCTTCACCTGGGGTGGGCACAGCAGAAGGACACCAAATCCCCTCCATAAAGTGCTTCCAAGCCCCCAAAATGGTGTTAAATCCCAATATTTTGGCCAAACACCAGCAGCTCAGACCCAAGGTGTGATTTTTTAAGTGCTAACGCCCCAGCAAAGGCTCAGGGAGGGGGGATTGATCCGCGGAAGGGGATGGAGATGAGAGTGACCCGTTTTGGGGTTTTTTTTCGCAAATATTCCTCGGGTGGAAGCGGCTTTTTCGAGTCGGGGACGGCTGGAAATCACGGCTCGGGCATTTTATGGCAGCAATAATCAGGGGAATGGCAATAAACTGGGAGGTGTTCCTGATAAACTGGGAAACTTCGGAGAAGGGGGGGGTGGAAGGTGTTTTATCAGCGGGTGGAGAAGGCTGGGAATGGGGCTAAAGGGAGGAAATTTGGGAGCTTGGGAGTGAAAATGCATCTTGGAGGGACATCGGGGACGTGGAAGGTCCCTCCTGTGGGTCTATTCCTGGGGGATTCGGGGTGTCTTTTCCCTCAATTTTGGGGAAGAGCCACCGTGGGGGTCACTGGTGAAGGAGCTGTCGATGTGATGATGGGCTTTGGGGACGTCAGAAGGACACGGAGGTGTTGGAGTGGGGCTGGAGGAGGAGAAGCCTGGAGAAGAGAAGGCTCCAGGGAGACCTTGGAGCCCCTTCCAGTCCCTCAAGGGGCTCCAGGAGAGATGGGGAGGGAGCAGGGATGAGGGAGGGGAGCCATGGGACCAGGGGGAAGGGGTTTGAGCTGAAAAAGGGGAGATTTAGGGAGAAATTGTTGACTCTGAGGGTGGGGAGAGCCTGGCCCAGGTTGCCCAGAGGAGCTGTGAGGTTGCCCAGAGGAGCTGTGAGGTTGCCCAGAGAACCTTGAAGAGGTTCAAGGCCAAGGTTGGAGGGGGCTTGGAGCAACCTGCTCTGGTGGGAGGTGTCTGAGATGGAGCTCAATGGTCTTTTAAGGTCCAGGTTGCCCAGAGGAGCTGTGGGGTTGCCCGGAGAACCTTGAAGAGGTTCAAGGCCAAGGTTGGAGGGGACTTGGAGCGACCTGCTCTGGTGGGAGGTGTCTGGGGATGGAACTGGATGGTCCAAAGGTCCCTTCCCACCCAAACCCTTGTGTGATTCTACAAAAACCTACTGTAACAAAGCTTTGGTTTTTCGCGTGGGGTCGTCGGGGCGGAAGTTCTTGTACTCCTCCACCTCCTTCTCCAGGGAGAGCAGCTGGCTCTGCAGTTTGCTGCGCAGCGAAGGCAGCGTCTCCCGAATGTGGTTGGTGAGTTGCTGTGGGAGAAGGGAGACATTGAGACACCCAAACCCACCAGGGGCTCAAGGAACATCCCTTTTCCACCAAAAATAAACCACTGGGCTGGGGAAGGGATCCAAAACCCACCTGGTTGAGGACTTTCTGCAGGTGAGGGGTGCCCATGCGGTCGGCCATGTGCCGGTAAGCGGGGTGGGAGAGGAAGAACTTCCTCTCGGCTGCCAGCGCCGCCCTGATGTCCTTCTTACCGTCGATGTCCTTCTGGCTTCGGTTGACCACGCCGATGTAGCCTGCAAGAGGACATGGTAAGTCCTCTGAAGTAACAAGGGCAAGTGGAAGGTCCTGCCCTTGGGCCACAAGAACCTCCTGCAGGGCTACAGGCTGGGGGAAGTGTGGCTGGAGCTGCCTGGAGGAAAGAGACCTGGGGGTTCTAGTTGAGAAACGGATGAAGATGAGCCAACAGTGTGCCCAGGGGGGCAAGAAAGCCAATGGCATCCTGGCTTGTATCAAAAATAGTGTGACCAGCAGAAGTAGGGAGGTGATTGTGCCCCTGGACTCAGCACTGGGGAGGCCACACCTCGAGTGTTGTGTCCAGTTTTGGGCACCTCAATCCAAGAGAGATCTGGAGGTGCTGGAGCGAGCGCAGAGGAGGGCAACGAAGGTGGTGAGGGGGCTGGAGAATAAAATCTTATGAAGAGTGATTGAAAGAGCTGGGACTGTTTAGTTTGAGGAAGAGGAGGCTGAGGGGAGACCTCATCACTCTCTACAACTTCGTGAAAGGACACTGTAGAGAGGCTGGTGCTGGGCTCTTCTCACAGGTAATTAGTGACAGAACGAGAGGGAACGGCTTCAAGCTCCAACAGGGGAGGTTTAGACTGAACATTAGGAAGGAATTTTTCACCCAAAGAGTGGTGTTTAAGGGCCATTTAGATGCAGTGCTGAGGGACATGGTGTAGGGGAGGACTTTGTAGAGTAGGGGAGATGGTTGGACTCCATGATCCCAAGGGTCTCTTCCAACCTCAATGATTCTATGGTGGCTCTCACTATGGATGGATCCAGCTCAAAGGTGTCCCAAGGACCCTGTGGCTCCATCTCCCCCAGGAGAGGGGTGGCATGAAGGACCAGGACCCCCCCAGGAGGAGCCAGAAGGTACAGGAGAGACCCTCAGGTGTGGTTTGAAACACCATGGTTCTCCACACGAGAGACCAGGGGTTGGGGAAGGGAGGGTTGGGGGTGACACAAAGCCCTGGTGGCTCCTTGTACCTCGTCGTAAAGGAAGCAGCTTGTTCTCCAGCACGTCTCTGATCTCACTATGGATGGATCCAGCTCAAAGGTGTCCCAAGGACCCTATGGCTCCATCTCCCCCAGTAGAGAGGTGGCATGAAGGGCCGGGACCCCCCCAGGAGGAGCCAGAGGGCACAGGAGAGACCTTCAGGTGTGGTTTGAAACACCATGGTTCTCCACACGAGAGACCAGGGGTTGGGGAAGGGAGGGCTGGGGGTGACACAAAGCCCTGGTGGCTCCTTGTACCTCGTCGTAAAGGAAGCAGCTTGTTCTCCAGCACGTCTCTGGCGTCCGTGCCTTCATCCATCAGGTCCAGCTTGGTGATGACGCCGATGGTCCTCAGTCCTGGGGCAACCATGGAAAGGAGCAATGGGTTAGTCCCACAAACGAGCAATGGGTTAATCCCACACCACACGAGAGACCAGGGGTTGGGGAAGGGAGGGCTGGGGGTGACACAAAGCCCTGGTGGCTCCTTGTACCTCGTCGTAAAGGAAGCAGCTTGTTCTCCAGCACGTCTCTGGCGTCTGTGCCTTCATCCATCAGGTCCAGCTTGGTGATGACGCCGATGGTCCTCAGTCCTGGGGCAACCATGGAAAGGAGCAATGGGTTAGTCCCACAAACGAGCAATGGGTTAATCCCACAAACGAGCAATGGGTTAATCCCACAAACGAGCAATGGGTTAATCCCACAAACGAGCAATGGGTTAATCCCACAAACGAGCAATGGGTTAATCCCACAAACGAGCAATGGGTTAATCCCACAAACGAGCAATGGGTTAATCCCACAAACGAGCAATGGGTTAATCCCACAAACGAGCAATGGGTTAATCCCACAAACGAGCAATCCTTGGCAGGTCCCACAGGGTCCCATCCAGTGGGAGTTGGAATATCTCCAGAGATGGAGACCCTCCCACCTCTCTGGGCAGCCTCTCCCAGGGCTCTGCCACCCTCAAAGTCAAGAAGTTCCTCCTCATGTTGAGATGGAACTTCTCATCTCCCAGTTTGTGCCCGTTCCCTCTTGTCCTGTCACTGGGCACCACTGGAAAAAGCCTGGCCCCATCCTCCTGACACCCAGCAGCCAGGAGATCCCCCCTCAGCCTTCTCTTCTCCAGACTCCAAAGCCCCAAGTCCCTCAGCAGAGAGATCCTCCAGCCCCTCATCATCTTCGTAGCCCTTTGCTGGACCCTCTCCACCAGTTCCCTCTCCTTCTGGAACTGGGGAACCCACAACTGGTCCCAGTGCTCCAGATGGGGCAGAGCAGAGTGGGGGGGATGACCTCCCTTGAGGTTCTCCACACTCTTCCTGATGCCCCCCGGGATGCCGTTGACCTCCTTGGCCACCAGGACCCCTTGGTGGCTCGTGGGCATCCTGTTGTCCCCCCAGGACTCCCAGAAACTGGGGAACCGAGCGCTGAGACTCCACCACCGGGGCGGTTGAAGGTTCCATCCCTCCATCCCATCCTCCTCATGTTGAGATGGAACTTCTCATCTCCCAGTTTGTGCCCGTTCCCTCTTGTCCTGTCACTGGGCACCACTGGAAAAAGCCTGGCCCCATCCTCCTGACACCCAGCAGCCAGGAGATCCCCCCTCAGCCTTCTCTTCTCCAGACTCCAAAGCCCCAAGTCCCTCAGCAGAGAGATCCTCCAGCCCCTCATCATCTTCGTAGCCCTTTGCTGGACCCTCTCCACCAGTTCCCTCTCCTTCTGGAACTGGGGAACCCACAACTGGTCCCAGTGCTCCAGATGGGGCAGAGCAGAGTGGGGGGGATGACCTCCCTTGAGGTTCTCCACACTCTTCCTGATGCCCCCCGGGATGCCGTTGACCTCCTTGGCCACCAGGACCCCTTGGTGGCTCGTGGGCATCCTGTTGTCCCCCCAGGACTCCCAGAAACTGGGGAACTGAGGGCTGAGACTCCACCACCGGGGTCGCTGAAGGTTCCATCCCTCCATCCCACAACTGGAGCAGCAACGAGGGCAGGAGGAAAACGTCCCTCTTACCTTGAGGATCAACTTCTTTTGCCATCTTGAGGGCGTCCGAGTTGGCCAGGTCCATGTTGGCCGGCGTGACGGCCAGGATGAGGCTGCTCTCCCGGCTGATGAACTGCAGGATCATCTCTTTGATCTGGTACTCGATGTCCTGCGGCTGGTCCCCCACTGGCACTTTGGTGATCCCCGGGAGGTCGATCAGAGTCAGGTTCAACACTGAGAGGACAGAGAAACCACGGGGCTCAAGGGGCTGATGGTGGGACCTGAAGCTGGAAAACCCCCTTCCAAAGGGAGAGTCACCCCTATATTTCCTCAGGGGGTGGCCCAGGAAGTCCCCATGGACCCCCCCAAGTTGGTGTAAGAGCAACCCAAGGTGGGCAGCACCCAAAATTTGCTTTTAGGCCTAAAACCCGCAGCCAGCGGGTCTGAAAATGCTGGTTTTTCACCCAAGGGGGGTCTCAAAGTGGGGCAGAGGAGGAGCTGGCTCACCGTGGGGCGAGTAGACGCGGAGGTTGATGGGGACAGGAGAGATGCCCTTGTTGGTCCCCGTCACCCGGTCGGTTTCCGCTTCGATCTCCTGCCGCACCTCGTCGAAATCCGTGAACTTTTTGGATTTGCAGTGCAAAAACTCGGCATATTCTGCAAGAGATCGAAAAGCAAATCAATAAGAAGAATAATTAATGATATGAATGATTAAAAAGGACGATTTGGAACCCAGCACGGGATGCAAAGAGACAACCTCGCCAGCAGAATCATCGAATCATAGAATTGTCCAGGTTGGAAGGGACCTCCAAAGGTCATCTAGTCCAACGCCCAGACCTTCAACCTGGAGGGCTCCCTGGTGGGTTCCAAGTCATGGAATCATGGAATCATGGAATCTTCTGGGTCAGAAGGGACCTTTAAGGTCATCTAGTCCAACCCCCCCAACCAGACCAGGTTGCCCAAGGCTTCATGGAGCCTCTCCTTGAATATCTCCAGGGATGGGACCTCAACCACCTCCCTGGGCAACCTGTTCCAGGGCTCCACCACTCTCACACTCAAGAACTTTCTCCTCATCTCCAACCTAAATCTGCTTTTCTCCAGTTTGAAGCCATTTCCCCTTTTTCTGTCATTGACAGATACATTGATCAAAATGTTGAACATCACTGGTCCCAGCACGGACCCTTGAGGGACACCAAGTCACCTGTGACTTGGGAGAAGAGACCGACCCCCACTTCTCTACACCCTCCTTTCAGGGAGTTGTGGAGAGCAAGAAGGTCTCCCTGGAGCCTCCTCTTCTCCAGCTGAACACCCCCAGCTCCCTCAGCCTGTCCTCGGAGCAGAGGTTGCTCCAACCCCCCCGATCATCCTCATGGTTCTCCTCTGGACCCTCTCCATCAGGTCCATCTCCTTATACTGAGGGCTCCAGACCTGCACATAGTACTCCAGGTGAGGTCTCACCAGAGTCAAGTGGCAGAATCCCCTCTCTGGACCTTCTGGCAACGCTTCTTTTGATGCAGCCCAGGATGGGATTGACCTTCTGGGCTGCAAGTGTCCCCTGCCTGCTCCTGTCCAGCTTCTCCTCCACCAGCACCCCCAAATCCCTTTCCTCAGGGCTGCTTTCCAATCCCTCACCCCCCAGTCTCTACTGATGGCCAGGATTATTCCAGCCCAGGTGGACTTGTTCTTGTTGAACCTCATGAGGTTCACCTGGGCCCACCTCCCCAGCCTGTACTGATGGGGAGGATTGTTCCAGCCCAGGTGCAGAACCTTGCATTTGCTCTTGTTGAACCTCATGAGGTTCACCTGGGCCCACCTCTCCAGCCTGTCCAGGTCCCTCTGAATGACCTCCCATCCCTCTGGTGGATCAACACCACCACACAGCTTGGTGTCCTCCACAAACTTGCTGATGGTGCCCTGTTTGTTTTCACCCACCGCCCTCTTTGCCTTTCAGTCCCCGACAATTGCTTTAAATGTGGTTTTTTGGGGTTTTTTGGTTTTTCTTTTTTTATTGCCTGGGCTCCCAAGGCTGAAGAAAGCTCTTCAGCTGCCAAGATGCTCTGGTGGGGGGACGGGGAGCTCCTCGTGCTGCTGGACGTGGCCTTCCCACCCTCCAGCTCCAGCAGCCAAGAAGGAACCGCAGTTTCCCTCCCTCCACCTGCGCCGCCAGCTCTTTCTTCTTTTTTTTTTTTTTTTTAATTTATTTACTTAATTCACCCTCCAGATTTCTCACTTGGTTTCACTCCGTACCCCCCGCAGCCAACAGCAACCCCGAGCTCAAGGAACCAAACAGTGAACCCGGGTGCCAGGAGGCAAAACATTAACCCAGGAGATGTCTGGGAAGTGAAAAACCAAAGAGCAGAAAACCAGAAAGCAAAACATAAAATAAATAAATAAATAAATAAATAGAAATTTTAAAAAACCTGCTTTTTTTCTGGGTTTTTGCACAGTCGTCTGAGATTTTCCAAAAGGGTTTTGGAATCCCTGAGCTTTTTCCTGCTCGGAGGGGAAGGGGGGAAGAGAGATGATGCTCCCCCCACCAGGAATAACACCCCCCGGGGCTCCTCAAAAAGGGATTTTAGGAGATTTGGGGCCACGACTCGTCCTCGGGGAGGGGAGGAGAGGGATGGGGTAACTCATTTCCTCCCTCAGAAACGGGATTTTAGGAGATTTGGGGCCACGACTCGTCCTGGGGGGAGGGAGGAGAGGGATGGGGTAACTCATTTCCTCCCTCCGAAACGGGATTTTAGGAGATTTGGGGTCACAACTCGTCCTCGGAGGGGGGGGGGGGAAGGGGGGGGAAACTCATTTCCTCCCTCAGAAACGGGATTTTAGGAGATTTGGGGCCACGACTCGTCCTGGGGGGAGGGAGGAGAGGGATGGGGTAACTCATTTCCTCCCTCCGAAACGGGATTTTAGGAGATTTGGGGTCACAACTCGTCCTCGGAGGGGGGGGGGAGAAGGATGAAAAAACCTGCTTTTTTTCTGGGTTTTTGCACAGTCGTCTGAGATTTTCCAAAAGGGTTTTGGAATCCCTGAGTGTTTTCCTGCTCGGAGGGGAAGGGGGGAAGAGAGATGATGCTCCCCCCACCAGGAATAACACCCCCCGGGGCTCCTCAAAAAGGGATTTTAGGAGATTTGGGGCCACGACTCGTCCTCGGGGAGGGGGGAGAAGGATGGGGTAACTCATTTCTTCCCTCCGAAACGGGATTTTAGGAGATTTGGGGCCACGACTTGTCCTCGGAGGGGGGAGAGGGATGGGGTAACTCATTTCCTCCCTCAGAAATGGGATTTTAGGAGATTTGGGGCCACAACTCGTCCTCAGGGAGGGGGGAGAAGGATGGGGGAACTTATTTCCTCCCTCAGAAACGGGATTTTAGGAGATTTGGGGCGACGACTCGTCCTCGGGGAAGGGGGGAGAGGGATGGGGTAACTCCCTTCCTCCCTCAGAAATGGGATTTTAGGAGATTTGGGGCGACGACTCGTCCTCGGGGAAGGGGGGAGAGGGATGGGGTAACTCCCTTCCTCCCTCAGAAATGGGATTTTAGGAGATTTGGGGCGACGACTCGTCCTCGGGGAAGGGGGGAGAGGGATGGGGTAACTCCCTTCCTCCCTCAGAAATGGGATTTTAGGAGATTTGGGGCGACGACTCGTCCTCGGGGAAGGGGGGAGAGGGATGGGGTAACTCCCTTCCTCCCTCAGAAATGGGATTTTAGGAGATTTGGGGCGACGACTCGTCCTCGGGGAAGGGGGGAGAGGGATGGGGTAACTCCCTTCCTCCCTCAGAAATGGGATTTTAGGAGATTTGGGGCGACGACTCGTCCTCGGGGAAGGGGGGAGAGGGATGGGGTAACTCCCTTCCTCCCTCAGAAATGGGATTTTAGGAGATTTGGGGCGACGACTCGTCCTCGGGGAAGGGGGGAGAGGGATGGGGTAACTCCCTTCCTCCCTCAGAAATGGGATTTTAGGAGATTTGGGGCGACGACTCGTCCTCGGGGAAGGGGGGAGAGGGATGGGGTAACTCATTTCCTCCCTCCAAAACCTCACGGGGTGGGGGGGGAAATACCAGCCCTTCCCTCCCCCGTCCACCCCCACCGGTTCCTGCACCCGATGACACCTTATCACGGGAAGGTGGAGGTTTTGCAATCCCTTTTTACATCTTCTGGGCACCAGAAAGGAGTCATCACTCAAGAAACAAGGTCCCCTGAATTAAAGGATGGGGTGTTTCATCCCGGGGGGAGGAAATAAGAGAATTTCCCCCCCTGGAGAACAGGCTGGGTGATGTGTAAAAAGCATAAAAAGCATAAAAAAACGTGTCTGGCTGGAAAACCAACCCTCCTCCTGCCCCGTGAACCCGGGCAGAGGGTGATTTCACAACCAGGGGAGAGGGAGAGAAGAGGAACTGAGTCATGGTGGGGGGAAGAAGCTGAGAAGGCTTTGATTAGAAACCACTAATTAGCGCTCCTGCTCCGACCCAGCGCCCCGGATCCTCAGGATAATGGCACCTTTGGGGAAAACAGGAATTTTCTGCCGGAGGGGAGCAGAAGGAGGGACCTAAATGGACCTAAAAGTGTCACCAATTCAGCCCGTCCTCTTCTCCCCCGTCAGGATAATGGCACCTTTAGGGAAACCAGGAATTTTCTGCTGGAGGGGAGCAGGAGGAGGGACCTAAATGGACTTAAAAGTGTGAATGCTTCAGCTCATCCTCTTCTCCCCGCTCCCCTGCAGCCTCCCAGGCCCCTGTCCCCCCCCCCCAGAACCAGCACGATGCGGCTGGAAGGGGCCAAATTGCTATTTTTTAACCATATTGCAGGGATTTAATCCATTCTGGGGAATAAATGAAGGTCACAACCTGCCACAGAAGCCTCCTGAGGGACAGACCCTGCTTTTTCAGTGTTGAGGGCTGAAATTACAGACCCCTCCTCTCCCCTTTGCCATTTCCAGGGTGGTTTTCACACCCCCCTCCGAACAGACATTGCCCCCCAGCAGCCAAAAAACCCTGCTGGAGGAGCATCCAAAGGAACCAGAACCGTTGCCAAGACATTCATTAAGCTCGTTAAATGATAAATCTGAGGAGCCACGTTTGCCAGCCCTGGATTTTGACCAAATTCTCCCTCTTTTGATGGGGGATTCGGGCAGATCCTCCCGCCCTGACCCTACCTGTCTTGGAGAAGATGAGCTGCAGGATGAGAGGTCGCCGGGTGACAATTCCAGAGCCTCGGGGAAGGAAGTCCCTGCAAGGAATTAAAAAGACAAATATTGACCAAGGTGGTGAAATGAGGGAGGACGGAGTTTATCAGCCCGATAACGGGAGGAGCTGGGAAACACACGGATGATCCCGGAGAATCGGTTCCTGCTCTGCAGAGGGAGCTGGGAGAGGGCAGAAGATATTCCTGGGAGGACAGGAATGTGCTCCCCCCGTCCCCTCCCCGGCCCAAGGCCGCCCTCCCACCCCAACGCTATCTCTCTCTGCAGAAAAGAGCCCCGGCTGAGAGGGGACCTTGGAGGGTAGAGCTGCCAGGAGGGATCCCCGGGAGGAGAGGGGGAGCAGGAGAGGAAGAGGAGGAGAGGGGGACCAGGAGAGGGGGACCAGGAGAGGAAGAGGAGGAGAGGGGGACCAGGAGAGGAAGAGGAGGAGAGGAAGAGG